CGAAACGTTCTCGTGAGATAACAACTGAGCCGATTGCGGTATGAGTTCAAACTACGAAAACACTGACAAAAAATAGGCAGTCAATGACGGTGTGTGCCTACTGCTGTTATTATTTAGAACATTGCAGTAAAGCAAATCATATTGCAATAAAGCGAGCTAAATACGAAAACGTTTTTGGACTCGTAGCTCATTAAAAACATGCGACTTGTTTCTTGCACCGCGCAAAATATGTCGATCTTCAAAGTTGTAAAGATAAGACTTGTAAAGTGCGACTTGAGATTTTCAAGTGCACTTGAGTCAAGTGCTTACTTGAAACTAACTTAGTTTCTTTTGTGACGTAAGTACTATTTGCTAATAAGAATAAGGTGGTTTAGGGTTAAACAAAATGAATTTAAAACACCATGCATTATTTCATATTTGAAGGGAATGGGTTTTTTCTGACAAAGAGGAGAATATCAATGGCTCGAAAAGCAGGAGGAAATCGAAAGCATCTATGTCAACTCGCTATATCCTACATCAATAAACGAAATTTCCGCTCCGATATACTGTGTTTGGGTGTATAAAGATTAGTTTGAAAAAAAGGTTGTATAATCGTTTCAGTGTGAATAGAGTACAACGATAGATTACCTCTTATTTAACACTAAAGAGAGGCAATACATCTGTTAGAACCTCAATAAAACATTTTTGCGTTCTCTCCTTTTAGAGGGTTGCCCTCTTCAATGCCTACTCTATGTCAGCCATGTGCAAAGCAGGATTTGACGTCATAGACGTGTATTCATTGACCGATTCGTATCCACTTCGGTGCCGAGACCATGTTCATTACAGCAAAGACGTTTTTGACATGACGGAGACAATGCTTGAGCAGTACAAAGTACACTATAACAAGAAGCTCGACGAAAATGAAAAACATGGTAAAATAAAACAATGTGTAAGTGCAGAACACTTCTGAAAGCGTAAGTGGAATACAGTTGAAAGGTATGTTTGTAAAGATTGGCAGTAAACAGTTTCGCTGAAGTGTTAGTGCAGGTTACTGAATAAAACTGTAAAAACCACACCCTAGTCCAACGTTTTTATTTCTTAAACTTGTCGACCTCGCGGTCAGGAAATTACATATTGCCACGTAACTATGAATACAATGAAAACTGTGTGGGGTGGGGTAAGAATTTACCTCATACAGAAATAAGGTTTTGGAAAATTCAAAGTTAGTGGGAGATAAATTTAAAGAGGTAGAGAAAAGATGATAGCGTTTTCCTATGCGAAAGTAGTCAATCGATCTTCATCGAGGAATCTGACTCCAAGTGACTTCTAAGCACCTTATAATTTCTCAACATTGAAAAAGGCTTAAATTAGTCTTAAAAGTCGTTATTAATGATATTTTTATTGGTGGCGAAGTTTTTTGCAGCGGCATTGTTGCACAAGACTAAATTTCATTCAGCTGAACCTCTGCAATCAAAGCTCTTTACTTAAGAATTTGCCTTACGTTTAGATAAAGATTTTTTTACTGCAGTCTCTAGGAGTTCGTTCGTAGCTTTTGTGGTAATCGCATTCGAAGAGAAATGGACAACTTGGCAGTTGTAACTCAACCTTGAGATGGTGCAACCTCGTGGAATCTCGTTTTCATGTCTGGTGAGACTTGAAAACGAGACAGATGGCAAACACCTGGCCACGCGATACAACTGTCGCGCATGCCTAGATTAGTATGCTGTTTCGTTTCGCTGTATTTCTTTGTATGAACTAAAATAGGCCCTTTGCAGCTGGGGTCACGTGACCAATTTTTCCTAGAAAATTTGTATATTATGGGCTATAACTTAAAAAATGCCAGAAATGGAAAGAGCGCATCGAAAATACCAAAATGGCCAAGTTTGAACCAAAATGGCAGAAATGGAAAGAGCGCATTGAAAATACCAAAATGGCCAAGTGAACCAGAGACTAGGTCTTTTGCGTAGGATTAAGCACTTGTTGCCGTATAATGCACGCCTTCTTTA